GATCCTCGTCGCAAAATCTACAAAATTCGCGAATTATTTGGTCCAGAATAAATTAACCAAATATATAAAGATTCAAACTTTAAAAGATATTTTCTAAAACAATATTACAAGAAAAATTAATTAGTAACCATGCATAACACGATCACAGAGTTCTAAACCTCTTTCTGTAACTAGCGAAACCTTAACACATTCTGAATTAAAAGGCATTAATCAAAAATTAAATGAAAAAGAAAAAATGATCAAAGAACATGCCAAACAATTACAAGCCAAACAAGAAGAACTAAAGAAGTTATAACACGAAATCAAACAAAATAGAAATGCGAATTCTGGCAATAATCAATATGAATCAATAATAAAAAAATTATATAAACAAATCTCAGTTTTAAGTTCTTTGCCTGAACAAATGGAACGATTAAATCAACGCATTGATAATATCCAATTTTCTAATCCACCTCCTAATCAACAAACGAATTATCATACTGATTTCCCTTCTACACAAAATCCCCCTCGTAGACCGAGCCCCTTAGATACAACCTCCCCGATCCGCTTTAAAGACGTAGTTGACTCTATCCCTAAATATGATGGACATAAAATGTCAGTTTTCTATTTTAGTAAAATGTGCGAACGGGCTCTTGAATTAATTCCATACTACCATGAATATCACTTGGTACAACTAATAACCAATAAATTACAAGGCCATGCCTATGCCGCATGGAATACAACACCGTTTTCGAATTAACAAGACGATTGAAACAAATTTTTGGTCCTAACAAATCAGTAGATCAATATCGCGGTGAATTAGCGAATATCTATATGAAACCTAACGAAAACATGGTGAATTAGATATCTATATGAAACCGAACGAAAACATCTTCGACTATATAGAAAGAGTAAAAGAATTACGCGCGGCTATAATTGACGAAGAAACTAGCGCCGGTGGATACCTAGACGAAATTACAAAAGATAACATTGAGCGTACCGTAACCACAAGTTTTATTAATGGCCTTCCTTCCGAACTTTTAATTAGAGTTAAACTAGAAGGATCTTATACGTTTGATAAAGCTTTAGTGTCAACAATATAACTCTCAAAAACTTTAGAAGCAGAAAATGCGCGTAAACGAGCCGCACGTTATAAATCTAATTATCCCCTTTGCGCTGATTTTCAAAATAAATCAGGACCGTTCCAAACTACAAATTTACCGCGTTTTACTCAACCACAACCCCCGCGAAACAATGTGACCACTTTTATAAGACCACTTATTCCGGGAATGCCTGGACCAAATTACCCTATTGTAAAAATCTGTCGCTATTGCAAAAATCACGGACACCTTATAGATGAATGCCGAAAACTCGCGTATAGAAGATCCGTCGAGAATAACCCATCCACCTCACATCTTAATAACAATCATAACGATCCGGGAAACGCACAGAGCATTCCGGTAACGAACGGCGCCCGCCGGAACGACATTCAAACGATACGCCCATCCCCTCCACAACAAGCGCCAGTAATTATCGCACTACTCCAAAACTCGATTCCAACATCGTCGCCCGCATAGGACGAATAGAAAAAGAAACAAAATTCAATAGTTTACCTTCTGTCACCCTCTCCTCTCCAGACCTAAATACCAACTGTTCTTTTATGATTGATTCAGGCTCTGGAGTTAATCTTATAAAACAACGATTTGTTAACCAAAATATAATTCCAGATGAACAAGAAACCTTAACCCTTCAAGGCATATCTTTTGAACCAATCTCTACTATAGGTTCCATTACCATACAATTATTTAATTTACCCACTAACTTTCATATAGTTCCCGACACAGTCGGTTTCTCTCAAGATGGTATTTTGGGAAGTATGTTCTTAAAAGAACAATTAGCTAGCATAGATTACAAAAATAAATGTTTGCATTATGATAATTCGAGTATTCCCTTTTCAGAAGCAATTTATATTCATATTGGTAAGCGGTCTGTCTCACCATTTTACGTCAATGTTACTAATTCTGAAAAACAATATGGATATATATCGCGTCATACGTTAATTGAAAAGGTTTATTTCGGAGAAGCAATCGTTACCAGTGTTAAGGGCAAAGCCTACCCAGACAGCACAAAACGTCCTCAGGATCATCCTGAATATGTCCAGGATGGTTCAGGATATTTGTAGTATGTTTTAAGATATTATTATAAATATATTTTATGAAAATTTAATATGCATACATGATTACTTTCGGTTATGTAGGCTATTTAATATAATTTAGAAATTTTAAGTATTGTAATAAGTATTAATGTCCTATAAATGTCCATTGGATAACCCCTGGATGTCTGTAGGATATCTGCCCTGTCTATTACCCAGACAGCACAAGGATGTCCTTAGGACGTCCAAAGGGCATCCAATATAATAGACAGGGCAAATATCCTACAGACATCCAGGGGTTATCCAATGGACATTTATAGAACATTAATACTTATTACAATACTTAAAATTTCTAAATTAAATTAAATAGCCTACATAACCGAAAGTAATCATGTATGCATATTAAATTTTCATAAAATATATTTATAATAATATCTTAAAACATCCTACAAATATCCTGAACCATCCTGGACATATTCAGGATGAACCTGAGGACATTTTGTGCTGTCTGGGTCACTATGTAGAAAAAGCAAAATCTCGCAAGCTTACAAATATATGTTTAATACTACAAACACAATAATGAGATATTAAAACAGTGACATACGCGAGGTTAGGATATCTGTCTACCCGAGTCGCGCGCGCCGCTTCGAGATATTACCGTTAGAACAATACGCGAATTACGCAGACGTGCGTGCCGGAGAATTAGTATAAATAGAGCGCGTTTCTAATTATTGAGACCAGATCTTCCGCACCGCCAGAGTCTGTAAGACGCCTGGAAACCGCCTAGATCATTAACCGCTCAGAGAGAGAGAAAACGGGGTTGGGTGTACTCAGCCTCCGCCGAGAGTTTGCAGCATCTCCGAGAGCGATCCTTCTGAGACCGATTAACAGAGGCAAACGGGAACGGGCGTACTCGTCCCCGTCGAGAGTTCTCGACACCTCGCAGAAATCCGACCACCTACGTGCAACGGCGATCTTCTAGTGGTAGGGAGTTCCCTACCATCGACGGGTGTTCTCGTCAGCCGTTGCACTCCTGCAATTCCACGGGGAAAGACCACCATCCCGACGTAATACAGAACGCGCTATACGCGCTTATCGAAGACATCTGCGACCGCCATTACGACATCAGGACGCGCCATTGATACGGCGCGCTAAGTCCCGCGCCGGGGGATGATCCACATCCCTACCGCGACACCGATCGACATACGCGATCAATACCGACGCGTCGAAGGGCCGCCCACCGGGCCGACCGAAATTACCGCCCGATAGATAACGGCCTCAGCCGAAATCGCTGTCCGCGATCTATAATCGATAGTCTATCGATCCGCCGAAATCGCGCACCGCGCAACGCATCCGTGCGTTGCATCGACTGCACCGCCCTGATACGACCGCACCACGATCCGTTCAGCATTGCATACGCATGTATATAATATCTAAATTCAACCGATTATAAGCATTTATACATCGCACACCGCCGTATCGCCGTACGGGCGACCGCGTACCCTCCGACTTTATACATATTCGCAGACCGATCTTACACGTACTCGCACGCACACATTGCGTACCCGCACACACACATACATTATCCGTACACGCACACCAATATTATACATACTCGCACGCACACATTGCGTCACCGCACACATACATACATTATCCGTACCCGCACACCGACAGTATACGTACCCGCAAGCATACCTCGCGTACTCGCACACCGATATTATACATACTTGCACACATACATTGCGTAACCGCACACACACATTGTATATACTCGCCGCTATACTTTATACGTACTCGCACACGCACATTGTCCGTTCTCGCACTCGTCACTCGTCTCGCGCACACCTACACCCACACACCGCGTACACCTATACACACACTCACGCTGTACCACCACACATTTACACGCAATAAATTACATTTTACCAAACATCAAAACGCATTCGTGTCTCGATACCGCTTTCCCGAACCCAGGATCCCGACCGAGTTATCCGTCGCCCGCCTCGCGAAAGCGGCTTGTTACAAAATTAATAATTATTATTATGTAGGAAGACGAGAATAAAAAGAATAAAAGTCGAATAAATAAGAGAATATAATAATGGGAAAGAAAGAATACAATAAAGAATGAGCAGAGAGAAAGAGAGAGAGAGAGAGAGAGAAAGAGAGAAAAGCGCGAGTGAACGCGTAAGTGAATATGCGAGGAACATGAAGCTAATACCCGTATTCATAGTCCGTCCTTGAGGAATAAGGATTCCTTGTTCCTCGTTCCACGTTTCATAAACTTTCCTTGACCGAACAAGGAATCTTATTGGCTCCCTTATCTCAAGGAAGGTCACGAGCTTCCTTGAGGAGTGAATGCGACCTTTTTAGCAGACGATACGCAGAATATAACCAAATATAACCTCCAAAAGTTAGTTTCGTTACATTTCAATCTGTGGTTTTGTGGTTATTTGTTGTCGCGCTCACAGATGTCTATACTAAACCTAGATCGCTAACTTCGGGCTTTGATATATGAAAAGCTGTGGCCAGCCGGATTTCCGGTTTCGGCCTTACAATAAAATGGCGGCGATGCGAGTGTAGTGCGTGTATGTGATACCCGACGTGTGTTAGTGTTTGTGCGTACGTGATACCCGATATTTAAATTGTGAATTTAAATTTACCTTATTATAAATTATTATTGCTTATAATTAATTTATCTATTTATCTTTATTGAATTTTATTTTATTTATTTTCTAATTTTTCATAATTTAAATTTATTTTTTGAATTGTGAATTTGTAATTGTGAAAATTCTGGAAAGATGCCGAGCAGTTGTTGCATTCCGAAATGCAAAAATACTACAAAAAATGGTTTTCATTTATTTTTTTGTGGTTATTTGTTGTCGCGCTCTCAAACTGAAAGTGTATAAAGGAAAAAAGGGATAATGGACAATGAATTTTTAAATGATTCTGACGATGGATTTGAAGACGAAAATCCAGAGAATCGGATTCTGTGGCGGATTCCGAAAAGATACATTCGCGATTGGGAAAATCCCGTGGAATTTTTCGAAGATATTCCTTTTCGGAAAAGATACCGATTCAGCAAAGGAGCTGTGATTGAGATCTTATTACCTTTGGTAAATGCTCGCTTAAGGCGATTGAATAATCGTGGACTGCAGGTTTCTTCGTTGATGCAGCTTTTAATAACACTGCGTTTTTATGCAACGAGCAGCTTTCAGGTTTGTAAATTTAATTCTAACACTGTGGTAAATAAAAAGATAATTCATTTTCATTTCATTTGTATGTTGTTTTAATTGCAGATTGTTAATGGAGACTTGCGAGGATACAGCCAAGCATCAGTATCGAGAATTGTTGCACGAGTTTCCAGAATTTTAGCATCACATTTGAGCGTATATATTAATTTTTCCACTGAACAAAAACGTCGGGCTAATAAAAATAAATTTTATGAGGTGGCCAACTTTCCATCCGTAATAGGATGTATCGATTGCACCCATATACGCATTGCGAATCCTGGAGGGAATAATGGAGAGATATTCCGGAATCGAAAAGGATGGTTTTCTCTTAATGTACAGGTATATTTTTTCAATTGTTTTATTTTGCATGTCAAATTTCATATATTAAATAATTTTTAATAATAAATT